ATTTAATCCAAAAATTTAAAATACTCTATGAATGTCACATTAGTAACTTCATATTATATTTCTCTACCATGTCTCTATTTTGTTGAATTGAAGGGGTTCCTAGTTCTTTAGATTTCCTAATGACAACTTGGATCAATTCCATCTTCAATTCGATCTTGCATCCTAGTTGCATCAAAACCTATTTTATCAAACCAATCTCTAAATTAGGATATGGCAAAAAGATAGATAGAACAACATGAACTAAGAGATAAATACAATTAAAATTTTCAGGTGACATCAAGGTGATATAAAATTTTAACATGACATTATTCATCTCCAAGAGTTATAACTATAACAAGTTATAGCCATGGCACGCAAGAGGAAAAAGATGCCATACATATTGTTGGGATTACTGTAACCATAAAAATGCAAAGCATCACACCATAGCATCACACAGTAGTATGGCCTGCTACAAACTGAGTATTTGGTGTCTTCTTCTTTACATTGTGAATTTTGGCAAGGTGGTTAATAAGAACATGAGAGAGATGGTGAATTTGGACTTACGGAACATGCTTGGGGATATGGTCTTCCATTTTTATGTGCATGAAAAAGGTGTTAATGTTACATTATGATCATGTATTTTACTTTTGAGTTTCTCTTACTTAATGGTGAAACTTTGTGTGCAAACAAAAGTGGACCCACACGCAGAGGAAAGCACCAATGAGCTAGTTTCCTAAGGCTTTGTTTGGGAGTTGGTTTTAGGAGGGGAAGGAAAGGAAAGAGAGGGTTTTAGTAAGTCCTTCCCTTGTTTGTGAGTTTAAAAAAAGGAGGGGAAGAATTTAGAGATTTTTACTAAACCCTCAAAAACTCTTCTTCTTCTTAAAATTAAAGTTCCCCAATTTGGAGGGTTTGAGGGGAAAAATATTGAAAATTACTTATCTACCCTTAGCATTAAAATGTTAAAACTACATAATTGTGAATCATTTTTAAATGCGATATTGTTATAAAAGTATCAAATACCGACAAAATTTATTGACGAAAAATATTTCGTCAAAAATAGTTATGAAATATTTTATAAAAATCATATACGTCAAAATATTTCCGTCAAAACTATATACAAAATTAGAAACGAAACCAGATTTTGCCATAATCACTTACATAAATTTTGTACGAAAAAAAAAATTCAATCAAAATTACTGATAGAATCTAAATTACGTCGAAACTTTTAACGAAAATATTTCCACCGAAAATTTTGACGAAACACATTTCCATCAAAAAGTTTCGACGTAAAACAATTACGTCAAAGTTTTTTACGGAAAATATTTCCATCAAAATTTGTGACTAAAAATAATTCTGTATAAAATTTTGACGAAATTTTTTTTCTGTCAAAATTCTTTACAGAATCTAAATTTTTCCAAAATATTTCTCAAAAAAACATATTCATCAAAATTTTTGACGAAAAATATTTGCATCAAAATTTTCAACAAAACACATTTCTATCGAAAATTGTTGACGAAACAATATTTCATCAAAATTCTTAATAGAATTTAAATTCCGCACAAAGGTTTCGATGGAAACATTTTCGTTAAACTCTTTGGCAAAAAAATTTCTGTAGAAATTTTTAACGAAAGACGTTTCCATCGAAAATTTTCGACAAAAAATATTTTCGTCAAGTTTTTTGATAAAAAACATTTCAATCAAAATTTTCAACGGAATGCATTTCTGTTAAAAAATTTCGACAGAAAATATTTCCGTAAAAGATTTTCACGAAAAAATATTCTGTCAAAATTCTTTACAGAATTAAAACTTCGTCGAAAGTTTCGAATGAAACATTTCCCTCAAAATTTCTAACAAAATAATTTCTGTTGAAATTTTCGTGAGAATATATTTCCATCGAAATTTTAAAATTTTTTACAGAATTCTTTTTCTTTTAAAACTTTTGATGGAGGAAATCATTTTCGTCAAAACTTTTGATGGAAACTGGATTTCGTCGAAAATTTCGATAGAAAATTTATTTTTGTAAAAATTTTCATCGGTTGAAAAATTTCGTCGCTTTTCGACGAAAAGTATTTCGACGAAAAAAATAATATTGTAATGAAGTCTTCATCGTTTGCAACGTAGAAATTTCATAAAAAATATGATCTTTTTTGGTGTTGTGAAAAGTATATAAGTAATTTTTTTTAGAAATTTTAAATTTAATTTAATTTGTAAAGTATAATAATTATATTAATTTAAAAAAAAAGGATAAAATGGTAAAATTATCGGATTGACCCTCCATTATCCTTCCATTCCATTGTTTTGACTCTCAAACAAGGGAAGGGGATACCCTCGAATTTCCTCTCATTCCTTCTCCTCCCTCCTCCTTGGATCCCCTTCCTTCCCTTCCCCTCCAAACTCCCAAACAAAGCCTAAGTGCGTGAGAAATGCACAAAGAAAGTGGAAATGAAAAAAAGAAAAGAAAAGAAAATAACTTCATTTCTATTCATGTTTACGTGCTCACGGCGTTTTGTTTCTTGTTTAGAAGATATTGTTATCATTTAACATACAGGATTTCTTTTTGTTGTAAAGAAAATGACAAATGAGACATTTCCAAACATTTTGAAAAAAAAATTGTTTTTTTTTTTTTTTTTTTTTTGGATAAAATAAGGAAAACAAAGACAACTACAGCAACCTAACTACTTAACAACTTGGAGTACAGAGACCCCCTTCTATCGTTATCTAACAGAAGCCTACAACCACTGGGAGGGACATATCGAAAAGTTGGAGGTTCCGGTCATCAGCAACCAGGTGGGAGTCTAACAGTCTCGTTCCTGCTACAGAGTTTCTGGATCTTAATTAATAACAAGACTCGTGAAGGCTTGATGATCTTCACAACCTTTCTTAATCACTTCACAACCTTTCTTAATGACATTTTGAAAATTATTGTTTCAAAGTCGTCTTCAGAGAGTACTAGTGGTGCATGGTCCCAAACATGAAATTAGAATTCAGCATAGATAAATAAGATAAGCTTTACTGGCCCATCAATATATTAACAACAATCTAGAAATTGAAAATGGGTACAAGACTCTTGACTCACTGATCACCGCAAAATCCGTGTTCAATGGACAATGCTTATTTTTTGTCATAATCACGGAGTCATTGGAATTAATTATGGCAATTAAAACAAAGAAGAAAGAGGAGATGGTGATGCTGGACGCAATGAAAGGGACACGGGCGTTCATTTTTGTCCAAATGCACAAGTTCCTGTTTATATATTGCCAACTTGTTACTGGCAACACCGCAATGCAAGTATTCATAAAAGAATATCCTGACAATATAAGCTTTTTGAAGGGTATTATTGTTTACCGGAATAATTGTCAAGAGTTTTAAAATAATATGGTTTCAACTTTCAACTTTGAAGGTATGATAATTTGTTTGGGTGAAAATTTGTCTATGCTTAATTTTTTAATTTTTTTTTTTAACTCTAATTGTGAACTTAAGAGGAGAATATTTACTTTATGGATTATCGATCAATTGTTTAGTAATTTTAAAGGATCAAGTATCAGATTTGACAATTATATATGTAAATTTGATCAATAAAATATAAATGTTGAAAATAAAATATTAGAATGTAAAATGTTAAATAAATGAAGTAATTTTACAAAATTAAATTTAAAATACAAAGTGCAATCATATTAGAAAATGCAATTTCTTTGGGCTTCGTCATTTAGGCTCACTTGTTGGCAGACGTTGGTATTGAGCCTGAAGATTTGAGCATGGAGTATTACATCTGGACTTGCATGATTTGGGTTGGACTTGTTTTGCCATTTGACCAAAATATTTGACAATTGATAAAACTAAACAATTTTTTTTTTTTTTTTTGTGCCTTTTTCTTCCTCTTCCCTTCTTATAAATCTTAAGCCATTGAGATTATGGTCCTTTCACTTTATATGTTTCTTAATTTGTTCATTTTTATTTAATATGAGATTTCTTCATACAAATCCACAATACTCATGGTTGAGTTCTCAATAATTTTATAAGATAAATGAATCAATTACGCAAAATAATTCTCTCCAATATAGACTATTAATTAAGTCATATAGTCAAAGCATGCATTTTCTTTATTGATACTTTGTATATTATGAATTTTCTCTTTTATTTTCAACTTTTTATGTTAATATCAGATTTTGAATTGTGAGCTCCACTCAAAGTGTAACTTCTGGCCGCTTCAAGAATCCCCACATACTAAGACGAGGTTTTTCAGTGTGCTTTTTCCTTACTTGCACACTTTCTGAAAAATACTGCAAGTTAAACACGCTCAACTATGAAGTACTTCCATCATGGGCTACCGAAAAGTAAATGCATCTTGTTAGTATAGGTAGTACCAATTAATTCTTATAAGTTATCCCAAACTGTGCAGTCTCATACCTGAACAGTCTTTGGAATCTCTCTTTTTCGGGTGTCGATTCGATTCATTCATGCATGTAACCCCCGTTAGAAGTCTGTCAGGACCCGCTCTTTATCTGTGCCTTTTTACACCAGCTATCACTCTCCGCCCTCGTAGTGATCGGGATGTTACACAAACCCTCTAATCTCAACAACCAGTAATTCCAAAGTAGCTATTATTTTTTCTTTTCTCTTTAATATTTATTGGTCAGTGGAAAAGCATTTTAGAAACATTGAACTTGCATATTGAAGCAAATATGTTTGATCTAGGAATAGATTACCAGACATATAGTATCTTTCAGTATAAACTTGAATGAAACATGGCTCTTTAAACGTAGATCATGAAACCAAACGTTTAAGTAGTATTTGGTGTTATGCTTCTAGGCATCAGCAGAAAAAACAAAGCATTTTCAAGGATAATTCAACCACTTAATTATGAACTTTCACAAAAAAAAAAAAAAAGTATTTTCACAAAATTAATACTTCACACGACATAAATCATAGTTAATGATAACTAAAAATGGCAAATATATTTCAATGGATCAATGCAGAAACTCGATTCTCGGTCACAAAGAATAGAAAATCCACACGGGACAAAGCTATTCATTGAAGTTTATTGAAGTGATAGATGGAATAAGATAAATAAGAGTCAATCCACTATGAAAGGAAAGAACTCATGAACAAATGGGGAACGAGAAGTAGTTCAGAAAAAAGAGGGAGACTGTCAACAGGGAGATAATTCTCACTATAAAACCTAGCAAACAGTCCCGAACGTTCCTTCATATGAGTCATCAACTGTTCCCAGACCTTCTGCAACAGATCCATCAATTGCTCTGGATTTTGCATTCAATATATTAACTGTTTAATACACATATGAGATACACTTGCTTTTCAACACATATGTTGAATGATCCGTTTTACAGTATAACTTAAACTATTTATCCAAAATGCAACGAGATTTCAAGAGGTGGAGGATCCAGACACTGATCTAGTAGGAGAAGATAACATAGGTTTTGGTGGAATTTCGAGGGAATTCATGCTGCCTTCCAACATATCTATCACTCTACTCATTGTAGGTCTATCATCTGGAAACGTTTGAGTGCACCATAAACCCACTACGGTCAATCTCTTTGCTATCTCATTTTCTTCTGTTTTCATCACCTCATCTGGCCTCAAATCACTGCTTTGCTCAAGCCTGTTGTATACCCAGTGTGGGAAGTATAACTCACTAGTGTGACTGGCGTCAGCATTAACGTTCCTTCTCCCTCCCACCATTTCTAGCAGCATCATTCCGTAGCTATAAACATCAGATTTATGAGATACTCCTCCAAAATGTCTATTCCACATTTCTGGAGCTACATACCCAATTGTCCCTCTAGCATCTGACATTGAAATCATGCTCTCTTTCCTAGGACAGAGCTTTGCTAGCCCAAAATCTGATATCTTGGGGCAGAAATTCTCATCCAAAAGGATATTATGTGGTTTTATGTCAAAATGCAAAATTCTAGTATTGCATCCCCTATGCAAGTACTCCAGCCCTCGAGCAATCCCCATGGCAATTTGATACAAATCCTCCCAGTTCAAAGAAGCAACGGCTTCATGTCCATTTCTGTAAATAAACTTTTCAAGGGAACCATTGGACATAAATTCATAGATGAGAGCTTTCTTGCGGCCTTCAAAACAAAATCCAAGAAGGGTGACAACATTGACATGCGAAGTGCTACTGATACTGGCAACCTCGTTGATGAAGTCTTCATTGTTTCCTTTCGATGACCTCAATATCTTTACAGCCACAGGGCAACCATTAAATAGTTGTCCTTTGTATACAGAACCAAAACCACCTTGCCCAAGTTTATTTTTGAAGGAGTTGGTCATTTTCTTGACATCTGAGAATTTGTATCTTTTTAGAGTTAAGGCTCCATGATTTTTTAAGAATGCTTCAATATCTTTGTTATCTTTTGTGGTCAACCAAAATTTTCCACGCCAAGACGAGGACTTGCATCCTAAACAAAAAATAGTAATACATATCAACAATCCTGCTATCACTCCACCAATAATACCTGTTAGCAGACAGTCAATGAATTAGTGGTAAGAAACATTTGATATAGTTTTATTTTTCATAAATTAAAATGTGCAGGAGAAACAAAACCTAAATAATTAAGAGTTGTAGTTCTAGGATATTTCCTATAGAAGTTAGGGAAAAAAGTTTGAGATGTTATTTTAGATAACTTTTATCTAATGTTCATCGAAACGACGTCGTTTTGGAGTTGAAAAATTAAAAAATTAGAGTGATAAAGACTATTATAACCTTGAAATAAATTAAAATTACAAAAATACCATGATTTCCGTCACAAAACGACGTCGTTTTAATGAACATTAGATAAAATTATCTAAAGTAACATCAGAAAAAACAAACCCTAGAAGGTATTATGTCTGACAATTTAATGACTACAACTCATATATACCTCGTAGCCTTCCCCCTATGCTTAATTACCACGCTTGGAAAAGTTGAAGTGAATAGAGAAAAATGATTAAAATAAAACTACTAAAGTTTTAAATAAGAATTGTGCTCTCAATGTTTATTTTTATTTTTATTTTTTTTATAAATCATCTAGTATTTAGTTGCCAATGAAGGCTGAATAATCTGGATTCAAGCCGGATATGACAAGTTTTAAAATAGCTTTATAACTCAAAATCACTAATTAATCTGAATAATATCTCACTTGTTGATTCATATGCTTGTGGTTCCTGTGTTTGAATTCTGTGTTTGGGACGTTGAAGGGTATATCTTTAGGGTTCGCTTGTTACGTAGTTATGCAGATAAATTATCTGCAGTAAGCTCAATATGACGTCGTTTTGGACAAAAATCATGGTGTTTTTGTAATTTTAATTTATTTAAGGGTTATAATAGTTTTTATATTTATAATTTTTTAAGTTTTCAATACCAAAACGAAATCGTTTTATCTACATTAACTGCACAAACATTTTTCCCATACTTTTATTTCAGATTACTTGATATTTCATATTTCAAAATTATTTTCAATAGAAGTCCGAAAAAGTGTCGTCGAAGGTATAAAAGAAAAAGGCATACCAAAAAACAAAGGTATAAAAAAAAAAAAAATTAAAGCTTTATTAACCAAAGAAGAGATATGTCTGCGCTTTCCGATCTAATGAAGGATAATTATTCTTCATTTAGTGCAGATTGATTAAAGATTTATCATAAATATTACAAGAAAGAGTGAAGGGGAAAAATATAATTTATTACCTGTAAGTATTTTCCGTAGCAAGTGCGACCGAGTACCTGAAACAGTAGTAGTGATTGCAAAAATGAGTCTTGTTAATTACAGCAGTGGTGACTTAGTCTTATTGGAAGGTTTTAAGTTTCAAAGGAGAATATTATACTTTGATATTGGACACATCAAATAATATATATTTTCAAAATATTCTAGCAAAATTGTATTGTATAATGAAAATCTAATATTTGAAGGTGCTGTATGAGAAAAATGGCAGATAAGTAATTAAGAAGAAGAAAGAGGGTAAAGAAGGCATACTATTAGAACCTCCACCATAGCAAACAATAGCATCAGATGATCCATCTTTGCAAAAACAGGTAAATTCATGAGAAGTTGAATTGTGTCCACAAACTCCTTTACTATCCGAACATCGTCTGCATTCTTTACCGTGTGGATTATTATAGTTCACCTCAAACCCACCATCCAAAGCACCTTTCATATCATCCAGAGGAACCTGAATCGGCACTTGGATATGTCGCTCGCAATTCTGAAGCTCTGGATGTTCTTTCAACACGTCATCTTTCCCACCCACACCATAGGTACCATTCTCATTTCCACACGTGAATTCGTATCTATCTGCAGCAGAGAATTCTAAAGAGGAACAGTTGTAGAAAATTGTGATGTTGTGCACAGTTGGTGGATACACGAAGAAGGCTGGGTCCAGACCCAAGAAAGTGTCGTAAAATGTCGGAGAACAAACATCATCGACCGTTTGCTTCATTGTAATGGTGTAAGCTGTTGCGTCGATACGCAAAACTTGGAAATTTGGTGAGCCAATTAGAACGGTGGTATTATCGTTCTGACACTCAAGTTTGAAATCTAATTGGTGGCCACCGCCACAATATTGGGGTCTGTTGTGTCCCCAGAAAGGGTAGAAGATGTTGGACACATCTCCACAGTTGTATGGCTGCCTGCTACAGCTTGTGTATTTGGTCTCTTCTTCTTGAGAATGGGACTGTGGCAAATTGGTTAAGATGAACAAAAGCATGGTGGCTATGGTTGCAATGACTGAGCGTATATGAATATTATCATCCATTCTTATCAACTACGCCCTTACAGTAAGTTACTTAACGCCACACATACACATAGATTTTAAAGTGTTTTCTATTTCTCGAGGAAACTAAAATTCAACAGTCACAGATGAAATCACCCTGCAAAGCACGACACTTCAAAATCTCTAGTCTCAAGTTTCGTGATATTTATTGACATTTTGACATTGACACTTTAATACTTGTTGCAAAGACTCAAAAAATATTCAAAAAATTACGTTGCTTTACATCTTGAGTTCCAATTATTATATTTGTTGAATTACGATTATTATTTTTTTGAATTTAATATAAACAATTGAGATATCTTGTGTTTCTTTACAAAATTAATGCGTATTATAAATTTAGCTTAATTTTTTTTTGTTAAATTAAATATTTAATATAATATATACTATAAAAATTAAAAATACTTTATAATATCAAAATATGTCCTAACATGTCGAAATTTAATTTTTTTTTAAATTAATATGTCAAAGTGTCATGTCATATTATATCTCATATCTCGTATCAATGTCAGTACAACATATATCACACGTAGAGTTTCCAATTTCACTGGATGACATCCATTGACCAAAAGAAACAGAATTAAAATTTTTAAAAAGATGAAAATACTTTCCTAACTTTACTTTTTATTGTTGAAATAATTAAAATAACAACTTTTAAGAAAATATGAGTTTATGAAACTATAGTCTGTTTTATTGTGTTCTTCTTTTTAAATTATTTTATAGAATAATTAAAAAAAATTTGTTTTTTATATTTTTATTTTAAAAGTTAAAAGTCAAAATATAAAATAAAAATAATTCAGAGATATTCTCTAAATTAAATTTGAAAACAAAATATATATATAATTTTTAAATATTTTTTTATAAAACAGACATTATAAAAAATTTGTTTTGAAAATAAAAAAATATTTTTAAAAACAGTATTTTAACAGGCCCTAATTTTTTCTTTTTTTCCTCTTTACTTCTCATATACCCTCATATGAATAGTATATATTTTTATATGTTTAGGAAATAAAATTAATTTTTAAGACATGACAAACAATGAACCTTGCAAGTTATATTGATAACACAAATTTTATTTTTTGTCTTTTTTTTTCTTCCGGTAAACTTATTTTTTGTCTTCTTTAAAAGGAGTGCTTCGTACATTTTCTACAGCGTTCAGTACCGTTAAATGCACTACCTTTGCTTTCAAGATTTTTTATTTCTTCCGTTCTCAAGATCATTTGACATACGACTTTTAAAATCGAAATTAGGACACGTTGCATTTTCTGAATTTTCACTTTCTTGTTCCTGCATTTAGAGGTGGCAAAGTGGACGGTCCATCCCCCATCAACCAGTCAAAAAATGAATCAGCTCACCCCATCTTGCTTTTGAAAGTGAGCTGGAAAACTCGGCCTGCCCCACCCCGTTTGACGGGTTAGCCCGCCAGGCCGAGCCTATTTTATACTGATCTGCTCGGCCCGCCTATGTCCGCCAAAAAATAAGTCTGTCCCACTTTTGAGATGGTTGAAAAACTCAGTCCACCCTGCCCGTTTGGCGAATGGAGCGAGTTGGCCCGCCGAGCCGAATCCGTTTCGCCGGCTCTACCTGCACTAGCACTGAATAATATAATAATTTGAACCTAAATTGAACAAAAAAATTAAATTTGAAGCATGGAGGTTTTCTCCGGAAGACAAATGCTCTGCTATGATAAATAATATAATAATTCAAAAACAAGTTCTCAACAGAGTAGTAGTAGTAGACTAGTAGTGCATTAAACTACCAAAAAAAAAAAAGACTAGTAGTGCATGGTGCCAAACATAAAATTAGAAAATCAGCACAGCCAAGATAAGCTTTACTGGCCCATCATTTACAACCCTAGAAAATAGAAATTGAAAATGGGTGCAAGACTTTTGCGTAAAACCGTGTTCAATGGACAATGCTTATTTTTTTGTCACAATCACGGATAAGGTGTTAAAAATATCCAAAAGAACTAAATCAATCCATAACTGACAGATTTCCGTCTCGAGCCGATTCAATTAACATACATATAATACTAAACAGAAACAGGGGAAGACTTAACTTACGAAAATACGAGCTAACTTTTTCTTTTTCTTTAATCATTTTTCACATAATATATCACATTGCATACTTCTTCTAGTTTAATTCTTATTTGACGGTGACGAAAATCGGCCATAGAGACGTCTGTAAATCAGACTAACGGGGATTTGCAAATCCCACTCTCAAGGTGTCCTGATAAACAGTTTATACAATATATGATTTCAGAGATACCAGATATCCATATAGAACCATATACCCATCCATGGGCGCATGCATAACTTGGCTCTGTGCCACTATGACTAACAATATGCATATCCAACAGGTAGTCATATAACTGAATAATACCTCATAATATAAACATGCATGAATATACAATTGTACTTGCATCAAAACGAAAAACATGTACAAAACATATACAGGCCATATACAAAATAAAGGATCAGACATCATGATCCACAAAAAAATGGAATACAAAACAACATAAATATACTCCAAAATAGCAGTAGCTACAGCTACTCAAAATTCGGCCTGTCGTAGCACCTCTAATCATGGGTTGTGTCCCTGTCTCATGAGGGCTCACCGGGAATCTGAGAACCTGAAATGGTGTCCCCAAAAAAAGGTGAGATAACAAATCTCAATGAGCTCTAGGTTTATGGAGAAATCTCCATACCCCTGGGCCCACTCCTGCATGAAAGTGAGATACAGAGTATACAAAGCATCATATAACAAATATAAGAACTGAACAAAGCATATATACATATCTTATCAGAGGCGTACGCAGTCATTCCAAAGGGATGACCCGAAGCGAAAATCAACGCACATGTTCCTAAGGGAGGACCCCAAGTGGAACCAGAACATATCAGAGGTGTACACAGTCAGTCTCGAGGGAGGACCCCAAGCAGACATCAGTGCACAAACAATCAATGGCCAGAGATCATTACAGAAATCACATCAGAAAAAAACATATCATATTATCAACTAACTCTATATGAATGCATCTATACAAAGCATCAAATACAATCATACAATCCAATCATAGTTCACTAACCATGGTGGAGCACTCAAGCAAGAAAAGACTCCTTAGACATAGAGCTTACCTTTTGAAGCTTTACCAATTTATTCACTCGTAACGCAAGTTACCTATTTAGCTCGAAAGGAATCCAAAGACTCTCAGTCCTTAGATACACCTAGAGAAAGAATCCAACACAAAACTTGTAAGTGATTAAGAAATAGGAAAAAATAGGAAATGATTCCATAATTGACCCTAATTATTATTATGAGGCTTTAATAATTATAGTAAGTGATTAAGAATGCTGAAAGTCTCTTTTTGGAAGAAAAGTGCAGATACCGGATCTGCTAGTCGGTATAAATGCGTACCGAAAAAGTATCCTGGAAAATTATAATAAGTGCATGATAGTTACTAGAATAATATGTAGGACTTGTAAAACGAGTTTCAAGTCAAAATAATGAGAACTGGTGCCAGAAACCGGTACTGGCTATGAAAAGTGCGTACCGAAAAGGTGCTCCGAAAATTATAAGAAAAATATGATAATTCTTGTAAAATTGAGTAGATTAAGAATCCAAAGTTTGGGATTAAAATACTAAGCGTAAAAATTAAAGCTAATGCTGTGTGTTTAATGAGGTTTGTCCATTACAAAAGCTTGAAGGTACTGCTGCAGGGTCCTATTCACCACTTCAGTTTTCCCGTCACTTTGCGGATGATAGGCAGTAGAGAAACGCAGCTTGGTGCTACTCAACTTAAATAACTCTTGCCAGAAATGACTCAAGAACACGGGGTCGCGATCAGAAATAATGCTTTTAGGCATCCCGTGCAATTGGCAGTACATGTTGGCGAATAACTCAGCTACTTTAGCAGCTGTATAATGAGTTGGAAGTAACCCAAAGTGAGCTGGCTTAGAGAGTCTATCAACAATAACCAAGATCACCGTATAGCCACTAGAGGGTGGTAACCCAACTACAAAATCCATCGAAATGTCTTCCCAAATCTGAGTTGGGATGGGAATCGGTTGGAGTAAACCCAAAGGCAACATATTAGGAGTTTTGATTTGTTGACAAACTAAACATTTCTTTACAAACTCTGTCACCTCCTTCTTCATGTCTACCCACAGGAAGTTCTCACTCAGACGTCCCAATATTTTTGCTATCCCAAAATGACCACCCACTGGGGATGCGTGAAATTCTTCTATGAGCAGCTTCTTGAATGGAGATAGAGCACCTAAGAACAGACGCCCTTTACACATCACCACCCCCTGAACCAATGCAAACTCAGGGTGATGCTCAGGTGTAGCCTGCAGTTCCAGTACCAGCTGCTGCATATCAGGCTCCTGGGCATATGACTCCTTGATCTTGGCCACAATTTCACAATGCGGAACCGTAATGGCTGCCATCTGTGCAGGATTTTCATGGCGCCTAGAGAGGGCATCGGCTACTCGATTCTCATTACCGAGTTTGTATACAATGGAATAATCGTAACCCAGCAGTTTGGCCAAGTAGTAGTGTTGCTCGGGCGTCTGGATGACTTGCGTCATTAACTCACGCAAGCTCTTTTGGTCGGTGTATATGATGAAGCGACGCCCAAGAAGGTAAGGCCTCCATTTTTTAACTGCAGCTGTGATCGCATGCAACTCGCGAACATAGGTGCTGGCCGCTAACAACTTAGTGCAAAATTTCTTACTAAAGAAACTGATTGGGTGACCATTCTGGAGAAGAACGGCTCCCATACCCAAGCCTGACGCGTCTGTCTCAATCACAAAGTCAGTCTCAAAATTTGGTAAGGCTAAGACAGGGGATTCGGTCATGGCTTGCTTCAGTGCTCCAAAAGCCACTTGAGCCCTGGGTTCCCACACAAACGCATCCTTCTTCAGCATGTCGGTTAGCGGGGCTGCTATTGAAGCATAATTTTTAACGAATTTCCTGTAAAACCCG